CCAGCCGTGCCCTGGGGCGCAGCCAGCCAGGGGAGCTGGAGGGAACGAGGCACTGCAGAGCCGTTCCACTCCCAAGGCACACTGAAGGGGCCTGTTCCCATCCCGAGGTGGCCAGCCGCTGGGAGGAGCGGTCGAGCTGGCAAGCCGGAGGCCGGGACGACGCTGCGAGGGGCAGTTGCCCGTGCAGCGGACGGCGTGCCCATGGCCACGGCTGGGCCAGGGCGGTCTGCCCTGGCAGTGGCGCGGACGCCGCGCAGGGAGCAGCGGACCTGGCAAGCGCCGTGCGACGGGCCTGGGCAGAGGCAGCACGCCAAGCCAGGGCCGTATAGACGACGGAACAGGCTGCTGTCTCCCGACGGGACCGAGCAAGTGCCGCGGGCGTCAAAGGACGGCTGCGCGAGGGGGGGGGGGGGCATGAGAACACAACGCAGAGCCGCACATGCGTGCACGGGAAGCCTGGCGGTGAGGGCGACCAGGAAGAACGCCCCCCCGGGCTCTGAGTGCCTGCTGATGCGTGGAGACCCTGCGTGGCGGCGTCGTTATTTCTGGCACCCACGATGTTGGCCGTGGAGGAAAGCTGGCCTCAGCGGCGGCAGCGAGTGACGAGCCTCCGAGCGGAGCGCCCGCGAGGAGGCGGGGGTCCAGAGTGCCAGCTGGCGCCGCGCGTCGCAGACGTGAGCCGTTGCAGCCTGCGTGGGGCGCCGGGTGAAGGCAGTTGGCTTGTTCAGGATCGGTGCCGGCCTGCCTGAGGCCTGGTTGCGGACGGCTTGCGTGCTCAGGATGGGTCCCAGCCTGCGCGAGGGCGGGGTGGAGACAGGTTGCTTGATCGGGGTCGGTATCCGCCTGCATGGGGGCAGAGCGGAGACAGTTGACTTGATCGGGGTCGCTGGCACAGGGCGCGACGGGGCGCTCAGGGCCAGCGGACAACGTGTCCCCTGGGTGGGAGAGGGCCAGGCTGGACGAGTGGAGGTGAGCAAGGCATCCATTGACCAGCATGACCACCCAGAATGCGACCTACGAGAGTACCCTGGAGGCCGTTGGCGGGGTTTTGCGTCTGGCTGGCGAAGGTCACCGCGAAGCCGATTTGGATGAGGGCGGGTGGACGGGGAGCGCCTCATAGGGCGACGTCGTCCAGTGGGTCCCGCCCGTCCTGCGCACTGGCCTTGGGCGCGGGCGCGTCCAGGGCGGTTGTCACGGGGTCTGCTGGGGCTGTTGCCCATGCATGCCGTGGCGGCGGGGCGACAGGGGCTGTTGCCCTGGGGGCGTGTGCGCTGGCCCCGTTGGACGGTGGCACAGCCTGGGGGCCGCCCGTGGAAGCTTCAGCGCGACTCTGGTAGGCACAGGCACGCGGCATGCCTGTGCTGGTTGCGGGAGCCGCGGGAGTGAGAGGAGGGATAGGAGGAGGAGTCCGCGAGGCCGAATTCGCGCCGTCGGGCCCTAATTACAGACCCAGAGGTGCATGGGCCCCTGCTCCTGCGATCCTGCACCAAGCACTCCTGCTCCTGGCCCTCCTCCTCCTCCTCGGCGGCGCTGGAGGGGGACGGAGGGGGCCGCGGGGACCTGGTGGCCCGACTCACGGAATTGCGCACCGGACTGGCCACTGCGGAGGCTGCTGCCCTGGCGTCCCCCCGGAGGGCCAAGGCTGCTGCCCATGGCTGTTTTGGCGGGATGCAAATGCGGGGATAAGTCCAGATGGGGAGAGAGGCGCAACCGAGGTACAAATTGTACCTACGCCCCACGGAGAAGGTACAATTTGTACCGACGCCACGCAGACAAGGTACAAATTGTACTTTTGACAACGTCCGCGACATGTGCGAGGATGTTAACGGGGGGGGAGAAGGTACGATTTGTACTTGCAAACCGAAGAGAAGGTACAAGTTGTACCCCAACAAAACGGTACCGGATACTCATCCCCCCATGTCCTGATCCCCCCATCGCCATCCGGCCGACTGTTGCCCCCAGGCGCCGGCACCGCCTGGGGAGCCCCGGCGCCGCCCGCGGCGAGGGCGTAGAACTTGCAGGTGGCCTTCAAGACCGCGAGGGGGCCGTCCTAGGAAGATCCGGCCGGCCGCCGATGCAGCACGGCGGCCAGATATGAGCCCCGGGGCCGGAAGGAGCGCAGCGAAGCGCAGCGGCCTGGCACAACAGAGCCCGTCTGGCCGCCGAGGCGGCACGGGGGCCCATTGGAAGAGCCAGAACTGGAGTGAGCAGCAGGGCGAGGCAAGTGCAGCACGTGCGGCAGCCCTTTACGCGGAGGGCCTGGTCCAGGAAGACCCGGCTGGCCATGTCGGGGCGACACGGCGGCCTAGCGAAGCCCAGGGACTGGCGCGAGGACCATGGCGAAGCCCAAGAAGATGGTGAGAAAGAAACCATGAAACGGTAGCATTGGATCACCCAAGTCCAGCTGGCTGCCTCAGCGGCACGGCGGCCTAGTAGATCGTCTGGAGCGGGTTGAACAGGTAGTTCAGCACGCAAGGCGTGAAAGGTATCACGTAGGTGATGAAAGTCGGCACGCAACCCGGGTAGTGGGTCTTCAAGACCATGCGCAGCGGTCCGAAGCGCATGGACCTCGTCACGACGACTGCGAAGGCAATCGTGGACATCTTCGCAGGCGCGCGCAGCTCGAAACCCGCGAGGCTCGTGCACTGGTGGATCGGGTAGTAAATGCCGGCCGCGGACGGGCACGCTCAGCGCGTGGTCCCCGACACGAATGATGAACTCTGGTGGCGGCAGCAACGCGAGAGCGCGACGGCGTACGGCGTACGGCGTGTGGTGCGCGGTACTGCTGCTGCAGCCGTCCGTCGTAGTCGTTCCGCCTAGCAGCCGACGTAGTATGCCACGCCATAGCCACCGCCCTATGCGTACCAGACGGGTCGGTGGCGTGGGACATGGCGGCGCGGGAGGCAGGAGGATGGGCGTGTGTGATGCAGATCGATTATGTCCTGGATCCCCGGGGGAGGGACGAATCCAGCCTGCCCTTTCGAG